GTGTTATTACAAATTTTTCTAGCTAAAAATCCTACTGACTTAATTTAAAACAAAATTTTTTTTCTAAAAAGCATCATAAATAATAAGTTAAGCAAAAAAAAAGAATATAATAATAATCAGAGAAATTAAGATTGAGTTGTTATTATCATCATCATATTACGTGCTGCAAAGCGCTATGACAAAAGTAATATCATTAATATTACACTTTTTATCAGATAAGTAAAATAATTATTTTTAAAATAATTTAAATAAATTACATAGAAAGATTCTTAGACAGGATTATTGTACACTTTACACAATACCTGATTAAATGTATAATTTGATGGAACAACTGCTGCTGTGTATTATTAAATTTATGTTGCCAATAGAAGGCAAGATTTCCATAGATTTAATGTAATATAATGAAACATCATATGTAATTGATGCAATTTGTTGCGGTTCGGCCACATTTAACGTATCGAGTATTATTAACGATCCCGCACGCGGATTTACAGCAGGGATATTCGTCGCATATTCAGCACGCCCTTTCGCTCTTTTGTTGATCGATAATAATTATTCTCGTAAATTCAGGCATAAGCATGCCCCGTATGTGTATGAGAGTTTACGGGATGGGAAGGATGGGGAAGGATAGGAAGGGCGGAATTGCCCAGACCTGCTCGGTTAAATGCTCGTAATGACGTCTCGTAATTGCATCGAAAGTTTCCAGGGAAACTGTAATTATCGTACGGGCTTCCAACGATATCTTCGGCCGCCTGTAATCGACGGGACGCCAAACCTGAAGAAAGGAAAGCTGCTTTTCTGATGGAATATTTTTCCAAGCGGGCAAAGATGGCGTTTTTATCTCGAATCGAAAGGAGGCTCGGAAGCTTAATAATGGAATCTCAGTCTCGGGATATCTTCGAGAGAGAAAAAGAAGAGAGAGAGAGAGAGAGAAGGCGGAGACGGAGGAGGAGGGGGAGGGGGAGAACAGCAGCTTAAAAGTGCGTCATTTGAAATTTTCCCTAATCCTTGCTCCAGTTAAATCAATTAGCGCCGACTAATTTAAAAAATTGTTTTCAACTTTTCTTATTTGCACATTTCCTATGACATATATAGGTTTCATTTCTTTAATCGTCCTTTTTAATACCATATTTTGTTAAATTGCAGTATAGTATTTATTTTGTAGTTGATAATGCCTATAAAACTTTTAGCTTTACAAATTTTGCATTTTATTTGTAATTTGTAAGTCTTATTAACATTTCATGATAATAAATGATGATCTTTTAGATATAAACAGACAATTTTACTATCTATTTACTTGTTTGTTTTTTTTTTTTTTGCAATTTTAATAATTGTATTTTATCACACATAAAAGTAACAGCAACTAAAAATATTACATGATTATTTGATTCCGCGATTAGGAAAGGAGTCGATTGCTTGAACTCGATTTCAGTAGTGTTAATAGGTGTTGGTCGCGACGAACCATTTACTTGTATCGATGATTACTCGAAGATTCATCGAGCTACGTTGATTTGAATAATTTATTCGACTGATCAACCGTATTAATATTCATTATTCGGTCAATCATCGGCACTCGGATAATTATCTGCGTAAACGTTCGGTTCATTATTCGGCTAAGCGGATGCGTGTGGCAATTGATTCGGTACTCGGCATACGTCGATGCTATCTAAACATTTCTATCGACAACAATGTTGATACACGCTGCAACAATTGTGATTTGTGATCAGAGGTGACTAAACTTGCGCTTGGTTTGAAAGATAATCATTCTGAAGCCATTTCATGCCATGCATGTTCATAATGTGGACGTAATATGTTCACAATGAAATATCACAATTACATTTTATATAATATATTTATCCACATCATAAAATAATCTGCAGTCCATAAACTTGTATTTGGAATTATAATTTATCAAAATAATAAATTTTAATAATTTAAAATTTATTGTTTTACTTTTATTAGTTCAAGTCAGCCTTATTTCTACTCAAATTTTTTACCACCAAACATGTATGCGCATTTATTGTGATCAAAATTTTAGAACCCACAGCTGAGGTGATATTTTACGCAATAAGATTTTCTTGTAGAGGAGGAAGGGGAGTTATTGATTTTAAAGTTCATTATCGATTTATCAAGAGGAATAATTTAGCTATAGCTTTGAGCTATTGCGTCGCAAGTCCGTAAATAATAACGGCATATAGTTTACGATATAGACAATTATTCCAAATTTATAAATTCAATAAATTCAATGAAAGAAAATTATTAAACATCCAAGATTTAGTCTATCGAGTAATGCCCCGTGCAATTTCTTCCTCAAAATTTCAAAGATCAATAATTAATAATACACTTACCCCGCTGAAGGTTTTGACGTTATGAAGAGCGTTTTGCGCTGCCAAAGCCGCTTTTCTAGTATAAAACGTTACAAAGCAACATCCTGCAACAGAAAGTTAATGATTTCGATGAAGAATTAAGTATTTATTGATAAAATATTAATTCAGTTTATTAATCAGCTTGCTAGTCAAATATACTACAAATTCCATTATTCATAGTCTAAATTCAGAGATTTTTTTTTTATTAGACTACCATGTTAAGAGAAATGTACTACAGCAGAAAGCTTCGGAGAAAATTTTACGTTCAAGTAAGATTTACACATTCTTTAATGAGCAACTTATTTCACGATAAAAAATATATTTATTCGCATTTTGATTATTGACCGAATAATTTGTTAAAATTTCCATGCGTCCTCGATGACAAAATTGACATCTGAAATCTTCGTAATATGTTGCAAAGATAAAAAAATATGAAAAAATATGAAATCGAACTACAATGTCATTTTTTTGACAGTGAACAAATAAAAAGTTCTAAGTAAAAAGGTAAATAAAAGTAAATAAAAGTTCTAAGTTTTTCGAGTCATCATACTCAATGTGGCTACCAACAAGAAACTATGATAGACACGAGCTGGAGTTCGTGCAACCGGTGACGGGCTCGAAGAGAGAGACGAGAGACGAATCAAAGAGGAAAGAGTAAAGTCGGGGACCTCATTAAGGGTCTTCCGTATCCCCCGGTTGTCAAGGCTGGACACCATCCAAGCTTCGATCGATACGAGTTACGAGTTGTCAAAAGTTCGATATGCCGGCCGTTTCTATCGCCTATGCGATCCCCGCCTCTTTCTCAGCTGGTATTATATACTCTCTATACTCCTGTCCTTCTTTGGCATCTCTCTCTATAACATCTCCCTAACGTCTCGAATGAATCATTAGAGATTCGTTTATCCACACTCAGAGAAAAAAGTCGTACTAGTAACTAGAAATTTGTACACAAATAGCACTTCAATTATTATGATAAAATTGTAATAAGAAGTAATCATCAACAAGTTAGCAAGAAAATATACAGTAATATAATATTATATAGCAATATATTATTTATACTTATATAATATTTATAATATAATATTTATATAATATTATATAATATTTATTATATAGTAAAGTAATATTAATCATTTGTAATATGTTTGTAATATGTATTTGTAATATTGTAAATCGTTCTATTTGTATAAAGTCGATACAACTATGTAATAGTTGAATCGCTATCTATTTCACTATCAATTAACAATTCACATCTATTGTTATCGTGACTATATTTTAATTATTATATTTATTATATTATTTTATATTATATTATATTATATTATAATTATTATATTATTATATTTAATACTACTTTTCTACTTGTTACTACTTTGAAAAAGTAGTTGCACGTACTTAAATTTCATAATTGTTATAAATATAGTTGACAGAAACTATTTTCTGTCAGTGTATATAGAAATTAAGATGGCTGAATTCTGATGTAACAAATAAAAACTGAAAGATAGATAACTAGAAAACTAAATGTTGCATGACTAGAAGGTACAAATGATGTTATAAACTCTCTTATGACTACATTTTATAAAAACAATGAAGAAATTAACCGAAATTTATCGAAAAATAGAAATAAAACTATTAAATTAAAAAATTAAAGTTTCCAAAAGTAAAACATTTATATGATAAAATTGTAATAAAATTAAGATGTAAATTCGAGATTTGCGAAAATAAACATATGTGAAAAAAATTATTTAAACTGAAAACATCTAGAAACTTTCTTCATTATTAATTTTAACGTTATTAATTGTAACGCAAGATAACATTAACTATATCAACTTTATGCGACTGAATTTTTTAATTTAATACCAAAACGTATCCGAAATTCTTTTTATGCTTAACATAAGTAAATAACATTTATTAAGAATAATTAAGGTGTCAAGAGTGCAAAGTTAATGGTAACCGTAAGTTAATAACGGTCAGGTTCAATTAACAGGTTTCCTATTTATGGCGTATACGAAATTATGATAAACCTGCAACGCGGCGCTGAGCACAGAGGGTGTAATTATAATGCGATCGTGGTAATAGTTTCGGTAACAAGCCTTCCAATTACTCGAGGAAATCCCGATATTCCGCAATGTTTTGTTTGGTAACGTGATATTCAATATCGCATTGAATAACGTATGGTACCATGATGAATGCATAATTGCGAATCGTGCAATCCGATACATAGTAGAACGGTCCGGAATGTTAGAATCGACGATATTAAGTTTGCCTAATCAAAAAAGGAGTTTGCTTCAGACGTACAGTCGCATATAGTATTTCATTTTAATACCTAACCGTAACTCGAGATTATTGAAAGAACAGCTTCGTTAGTAGGAGAAATAATTGGACAATGGAATACCTTACGAAGAAAAACCAGAGACAGATAAAAATAAAGATAAAAGGCGCGATATTAAATAAATAAATTATTATTTATTTATTGAATATCTCGTATTTTGTTCCTTTAATGTTAAATTAATCGATTGGACAGATGGATAAAAATTAAAAAAAAGAAAAAGATATCAAGAATTAATTGTCTTTAAATTTGTCGGGGATAATTTAGAGATTTGAAAATTGAGAAATTTTTGGCGGCCTCATTCTGAATGAGATGGCGAGATTTTCTCGTGTGCACGTTACGTAGCGAGAGAAGTGACATTCCTAACATGTTGCTCGCAAGTTTCCGTAAATTACCGCATAAAGACGCAGCCGGGGGTCGAGAAATTATGTTTCCGACGAGTAAGTAATCTTAAGGCAGCATCGCTCTATAGACCTTTAAATCACCGCTCGCAAACTGCGCCCACGTATCCTTTGCTGTCCGGAACAGTGTAATGCTCTCGTGTCTACAAATGACCTCATTTGCCGAGGTACTAACGTCAAGTCCGGTATCCTGTTCATCATATTATCATCGGCGCCAAATTGTGCCGTCTCTCTCTCTTTTTACTCGAACTTTGAACAAACAAAAAATATCAATCACGAAGGAAAAAATAACGTGTGTGCGTGTGTGCGCGCGTATGTTTTTAATTCATTTAAAAATATCTTCATTTATATTAATCTACGCTACTTCATAATTATACCCATGATTATACCTACCAATCGTTTTATTTTGCGTAATTTTCAATAATTTATTTCAATTAAGGGAGATTAAAGTTAAACATAAAAAAATATGAAAAAATAAAAATAAAAATAAAATGTAGAATAAAATAATTTCAATAACCCGCTCCGAGCCGACGCACGCGAGGAAGCACAAATGTAAATTGTCGTGATTGCTCCGCACGCGTCGTACGCGAATTGAGATTAATAATTAATAAGTAAGTTATTAAGCTGCACGATGGCGCGCCTGGTTATTCCCAAGTGCATCTGCAACATGGTCCGAACGGCGATAGCTTCCACGACTGTGTCGAGTTGCAGATCGGTGTAATTTCCTGAATTAGTTTAAACGAGATATTTTTACTCAAGGTAACATAAATAACCTTCGTCCGGTTATTTTATAGAGCGAGACTTTGTCTAAGCAAATAATGTTGTTAAATCGAGACTCGTCACTTTAATGCCTCGAAATAATTCGTGATAAGTAATAGCAGAAAAATATTTGCAAGTTTTGCAACTTTTGTCGCAGATATTACGCAATTGAGTACGCAGCGATTGTTTTATATATATATATCAAAGTTTATTGATGCAAAGTTTAAAGTTGTTATAATTGACAAAAAAAAAAAAAAATAAAATAAAATCCAAGAGTGAATTATATTCTTCGAATAAATAAGTTAACGAAAAATATGTGACGTGAGATGCATAATGTGGACAATTGCACGTTTAGAGTTAACTACATATGTACGAATTGAAGAGAATTATTCATAGAGTTGGACAAAATGATCGTTGTTAGCAGGTTTAATGCTAATGCCAACACATATAGATTGTAAACCAATGCCCCGAATTATTAACCAATTTATACGTTAATTCTCCGCCCTTCTCTTTCTCCAACTCGAAATAGAGGCATTCGAATCACGACAAAGCGGAAAAATGAGTTTGAGTTTTATATTAAAACGCGGAGTTTTATATTAAAAAATATAAAAATTACATTTGAATCATGACCGTGACTGGAGAAAATTTCAAGAATTGATAATACCGACATCGACAATGAGAACATAACTTGAAATCCTTCCATTGCGCGTAGGCGAATTGTCGGCATCATGAGCGAGAAACGAATTTAATTTGCGGCTCAAATTGCGCCGTCTGCAAAAATCACCATAAGTGCGAACGAACGAACGAACGAACGAACGAACGAACTAACGGGGATATTCACCATTAGGAATTCCCAATTCACACCGTAATTATCGCTAATTGGACTCCGGATTATATTCGCGCGACACTCGTCGCGTGAAAGTCGTTCGAGACGCGAATTATGCATGCCCCATACGTATTTCTAAAAGCAAAGACCATTACGATGCCGAGAGGGTGCAAGAAAGCATGAAGGATTAGGAAGAGAGAGTTAATTTTTATGCAATCATTTATTGAAAATTTACAATATCTTTTGATCAATTAAATCTCATTAGCGGCTTTGAGCTGCCTCGGTCCAAGTCCAAGTTAAAAATAACGGCGTGTGGCTGGCGACATAAGCGATTCTATATTAAATTTATATAATAATTATATACAATTTATGTATGTATAAAGTAAAGAAAATTCAAAAGAAAATTATTAGGCGCCTCCTCCTGCCTGTCGAGTAATGTCATTTATATATATATATATATATATATATATATATATATATATATTGTTCTTCGAAACTTATTCTCGGCTTGTCACATTAATTTGTTCAAATCTTTTAATCACAATTTTTAGAGAAAAAACTTTTTATTAGACGAAATGTAAAAATAGAAATATTTTTTTAACTGTAAGCATAAGAAAGACAACGCGCTATGTGGAAAGCCGGAAAGCTACGCCTATCCCATGAGTCCCCCTGGCTGATATCCCGATGCCGATGCGTGATTAGTGTCCGCAGGGAAATCTACCACGGACATGTTTGGGAGCTAATGCTCGT